ACCCGCGTCTTTTTATGAATAAAATTATGTTTCCTCATATTTATATTGTAGTTGCAATTTATTTTTGAATCACGAAAATTTATTGTCTACAAATTGGCACGCTCGGTGGGACCAGTTCTGCCCTTCATCTCTTCCTCCTGCAAATCGAAACTACAGGCTTCAAAATTTTCTATTGTGATGATCGGGTACTTCAAGTCTTGTCTTCAAGTTTCGCCAAGGCTACACCCCGACTAACCTTGACGTAGGGGGCACTTGTAGATATCGAAATCTTAATGGATCGAGTTAAATCCTAAATTCAAGATACTAAAAGACCTCTTGAAATTCTAGGAGTCTGTCAGTGTTGCTTAGAGACTACTCTACCAAAATCCTAGGTCACTCTTATAAAAAGGGTTACATAATCCTTTAAAAAAGATCTCAAAAATGGAGATCATCTCAAAAATCCCATAAACTCACAGGATATTCACAAAAAGATCAAGAAGTGGCCGGATAATTCTTGATAATCAAATACTTCAAGAAGATCCACAACATACTTCATGGATATCAAATAAATCCATGAAAGCCCGCACCATCCTACGTTCGAGAAATACGCTGTTCTAGCCCTCGAATCACAGAGATGACCAGGAGAGAAGAATCAAGGGGATAAATAGAATTGTACCCGCGTCTTTTTATGAATAAAATTATGTTTCCTTATATTTATATTGTGGTTGCAATTTATTTTTGAATCACGAAAATTTATTGTCTACGGTCTCCAAAGAGGTTTCACACCATTTTATTATTAAATGATAGAATGAATCCTGACCGCTCATTCAATTTAAAGAAGATCAAATCTGAAGCATCCAAATCAAGCACAAATGTAACACCTGACAAGCAAAGGTTTGCAAGTCTAGAATGTTCTTCCTACGTGTGAAGTGTGTGAGAGAAAATGCGTAAATACTAAATTCTTTGCATTCTACAGATTATTCTTTTTTAGTTATACATAGAGGAATAGTAGTAGGCCACCTGTACTTAGGCTAACAGAATTTTATTCCTTTTGTTTGTATAAATGTTTGTACAGAGATTGAACAAAACACACAGAAAATTTCCCAAAACGTCTCTCATTCTCTGATATGGTATCAGAGCTTTAAGGTCTAGATCCTATTACTTCTTCTTCAAGTTTCTCAAGTTCCCTTCAATGGCTGTCACTGATGAATCAGAAACAGTTTTGGAGGCTGCTTCTCCATCCTCCATTCAATCTCTTCAACCCACACTCACAAATGATAGCTCCCATCCATTTTACCTTCACCCCTCTGATTCACCTGGGATGATCCTTGTCAACTCCATCTTTGATGGAAAGAGTTATGGAGGTTGGCGTAGGGCAGTCCTCATAGCCCTGTCAGCCAAAAATAAGCTGGAATTTATAGATGGCACAATCAGTGAACTAGCCCCTGTTTCACCCTCTTTCAAGGCATGGAATCGTTGCAATGATATGGTAATATCATGGTTTCTCAATTCTCTTTCAACGGAAATTGCTGAGAGTGTCCTTTATTCCAAAACTGCTAAAGAGATCTGGGAAGAGCTGGAAGATAGGTTTGGACAAAGCAATGGAGCTTTGCTTTACCAGCTGCAAAAGGAGCTCAGTGATTTAGTTCAAGGAACTTCAGATGTAGCAGGATACTATACTAAGTTCAAAAAAATCTCAGATGAGTTGGACAACATTGATACCTGTGTTCGTTGTAGTTGTGACTGCTCTTATGGAGGCAAGAGTAGATCTCTAAAGTCTCAGCAAAATGGAAGGCTTATTCAGTTCCTTCAGGCTTATTCAGTTCCTGATGGGACTGAATGAAGCCTACTCAGGTGTGAAGAGCATCTTTATGGCATCACCTCTTCCAAGCATTAACCATGCATATTCACTGCTAATCCAAGAAGAGAAGCATAGGGAAATTCATGTAACTCAACACCCTCTTGATTCTGCTTTTCTGGCTGCAAAGTAACAGTATGGAGGTCAGAAGTATGCTCAAACAGATAAGAGGGGAATCTATGAGGGAAAGAGAAACAATCTAGTCTGCTCCTACTGTAAGAAACCCGGGCACTTAGTTGAGAAGTGCTACAGGATCATTGGTTTTCCTGCAGACTTCAAATTCACTAAGAACAAGAAGTTTCAAGGTGGTGCACAAGGATATGCAACAGTCACACAAGAGGTGAACTCAGATCAACCAGTTTGCAGTTTAGAAAAGGGATTCACACAGGAGCAATACAACAATTTGGTTCAACTTCTTCAACAGACCAAATTTACACCACAAGGAGAGATCAATTCAGAGGTCAATGTGACTGCAAACTGTGCTGGTATACCCAGACATTCACTTTCAAAAATCTCTAAGTCTGTTATTTGGATTTTAGACTCAGGAGCTTCTGAGCATATGACTTGTGATTTTAACCTTTTGTTCAATGTTAGAGCCTTAATCAAGCCAGTCTTTGTCAATCTACCTAATTCACAAAGAGTTAGAGTCACTCAAGCTGGGAGTGTTCAAATACTCCCTGATCTCATTCTAATTAATGTCCTTTTTGTTTCAGTTTTTAAGTATAGTTTATTATCAGTCACAAGCTTTGTAAACATGTCAATTGCCTACTCACTTTCCACTCTTTTGGTGCAATTTTGCAGGCCCCTTCAATGAAGAGGCCAGTGGTTCTTTGTAAAGAGAAACAAGGGATTTTTCTACTCCACACAGTCAAGTCTAGTATCAAAATTTTCAATTCAAAGAAGGACCATTGTCCATTTCTTCTAAGTGTAATAGGACCAGTATTCAGTCCTTAGTTTCAGTTTCATGTAGTTCTGCTTTTTTCAATGATGTATGCCTATGGCACCTGAGGTTAGGGCATTTGCCTTATTCTAATATGAAGAAAATTTCCTCTATTTCTTGTTCTTCTTCATCTGATTCATTTAAGCATTGTGAAATTTGTGCTAAGGCAAGGTAGGTTAAGTTACCTTTCCAATCTAGTACCATCTCTTCAAAGGGGATTTTTGATCTAATTCACATAGACACTTGGGGACCCTACAAAGATCCTACTCATGACGGTTTCAAATACTTCCTTACCATTGTTGATGACTTTAGTAGATCAACTTGGACTTACCTTCTCAGTACTAAATCCAATGCCTTTAGCATTTTGAAACAATTTCTTGCTTTAGTGGAAAGACAATTTGAAAGGGAAGTTAAGATCATAAGATCAGACAATGCATGGGAACTGGGAAGTAGCCTAGATACTTCAGTTTTTCTTTCTTCTCAAGGTATCATACATCAAACTACTTGTGTGTATACCCCGCAACAAAATGGCATAGTAGAGAGAAAACACAAGCATCTTTTGGAAACATGCAGAGCTCTTTTATTTCAGTCTAAACTTCCTATTTCTTTTTGGGGAGAGTGTCTTCTAACTGCTACCTACCTCATCAATCGTTTTCCTTCTAAGGTTCTCAAGTTGAAATCTCCTTATGAAATCTTGTTTGGAGTACCACCTTCTTATCACACACTCAGAAGTTTTGGGTGCCTAGCTTATGCATGTACCCTATCCCCACATAGAACAAAGCTTGATCCAAGGTCTGTGGCTTGTGTGTTCATAGGATACCCTATGGAAAATAAGGGATACAAACTCCTGAATTTACAGACTATGAAGATTTTCATTTCTAGAGATGTGAAGTTCCATGAAACTGTTTTTCCTTCTCTTATACCAAGGGACTCAACCTATATTTCCTATTCACCATCACAAACCCCTGATTCGCCACAGTCC